AACCACCAATGACACCGCCGATTCCACCTATGGCACCTACACCACCTCCAACACCTCCAATTCCAATTCCCTTGTAAATGCCTCCACCAATTCCACCAACTATACCAGCACCGGCACCGGCACCGGCACCACCTCCAACTCCTCCAAGTCCACCACCTCCAACTCCTCCAAGTCCACCACCTCCAACTCCTCCAAGTCCACCAATTCCAACACCTAGACCACTACCACCTCCACCGTCTCCTCCAAATCCACCACCTAAACCACTACCACCTCCGTACCCTCCTCCTAAACCACCACTTCCTCCACCCAAACCACCACCGGACCCTCCATCTATGCATGACTCTGGTTTCTTCACCTCTTCCTTTGATTTTTCCTCCAAGTTCCTTGCTTCAACATACTGGGACATTCCCAGCACCAGACAGATCCCCAGAACAATAACCGAAACGAACTTCCTCTCCATCACTATCTTATGATGTTTTACTACGTGGCAAGTAACAGTGTACACAGCTCACTCACTCCACCGTATAGCTATGCATGCATTTATATAGTTCTCGCTTGCATGTGAATGAATGATAATCATTATTGCAGAAAATGAAAAGACGAATAGAATTTAATGTGCAGTTGGAGGGTTAGGAAAATGTTGTTTATTGCAACCTCACAAGTTACCTTCCATGAAAGTAATATCCCAGCTCTACCACATGCCAGTGACGTGAAGTTCCATTCGCATTCATGATTTGCCACTCATCCCCACACTTATATTTTTTTCTCCAACCACAAATTATATTACTAACTTATTATACACTCCATCAATAATAATTTACAGTATATATACACACACACAAACACACACATACAAACTTCACCTTATTCTATTAATTAGAACCATGAATGAGTAATTCTCTCGTGAATTAAAGATAAAATCGATTGAATTAAGATTAAATATAATTCTTAATCATATTTTTTAAAATTTATTAAAACAAGAAAATATTTCTTATACAAATCTTTCTACACCTTAAAAAAAATAGAAAAGATAAGAAATCATCAATCAAACCTGGATTTAATCCTCGGGAATCTTCGTGATGTGTTGTGTTTTGTAAGTACTAATTGAGATAATAGATATGTGGTGATGTCAAGATTAAACTAATTTTTTCAATTAGGGATACAAAAAAGTTATACGATTAGTGTTAGATGTTAATTTATGAGTGTCCAAACATTATCATTCGGAAATTTATTAAAATACAATTTACTACATTTTCAATTTGGTTCTAGATTTGTTAAATTGGGTTTTATGTATAAATTTATATTCATATGTATTTTAACAGGATANGAAGTCGTTTTTGGGGTTCACGACTTCACCACTGGTCAAATGAACAGTGTGAAGTCGTGTAGGGGGACACGACTTCTTCATTTGAAGTCGTTTTGGACCCCACGACTTCTCCATTTTGATAATTTGAATTGAATTTGCCTATTCTCGTAGTATATGATTCATTTTTGTCTATTTTGGTAACAAAGCTTAGGTGACAGTGACACCAAAACTTCAATGAAATTATTCATGCAGGCCATACAAAAGCCACGTGATTCAAGCGGTGATCATGTCCTTGTTCTTGTAGTTTGGTCAGCTTTTAATAGTACATAGTTACAAAATTAATTAGCTGGTACTGCTACAATTAGTTGCACCTCTTGTAACCATTGTCTGTGTTCAAAGTTGTAATGCCTGTGCAGCTTAAATCAAGTCATAGTGATACGAAACTTCTTCCTCAACATTATCTCTTTTCTGTCAGACATTTTGATCATGCAGTTATATAAGAAAAATGTTCAGTGCTGAACAAGAGAGACGGAAATGAGAAATATAAGGCGATATAGAAACAAAAATGGAACAACAAACAGAAAACAAGTTCAGTACTTTATATATGTTTTCAAAATTACCATAACAGCAACTCCGCATCCTCGTAATGCAAAGACATATATATATATATATATATATAAGACATGCAATGTTGTACGACAAGTATATATTCTTGGAATCTTTTACATAACATGAACGGAAAATTTAGCATGCATGCATACGTACGTGAACTTATTTGTGGATACAAAATGAAAACAAAATAAAATAGCAAGTGAAAATGAAACACTAATGATAGAACTATATCGTCACGAGTCTGCAATTATTTTAAGGTAAGTAACTCCTTCTGATGTTTCAAGGCTTATTGTCATCAACATGTTCGAAACCACCAATGACACCGCCGATTCCACCTATGGCACCTACACCACCTCCAACACCTCCAATTCCAATTCCCTTGTAAATGCCTCCACCAATTCCACCAACTATACCAGCACCGGCACCGGCACCGGCACCACCTCCAACTCCTCCAAGTCCACCACCTCCAACTCCTCCAAGTCCACCACCTCCAACTCCTCCAAGTCCACCAATTCCAACACCTAGACCACTACCACCTCCACCGTCTCCTCCAAATCCACCACCTAAACCACTACCACCTCCGTACCCTCCTCCTAAACCACCACTTCCTCCACCCAAACCACCACCGGACCCTCCATCTATGCATGACTCTGGTTTCTTCACCTCTTCCTTTGATTTTTCCTCCAAGTTCCTTGCTTCAACATACTGGGACATTCCCAGCACCAGACAGATCCCCAGAACAATAACCGAAACGAACTTCCTCTCCATCACTATCTTATGATGTTTTACTACGTGGCAAGTAACAGTGTACACAGCTCACTCACTCCACCGTATAGCTATGCATGCATTTATATAGTTCTCGCTTGCATGTGAATGAATGATAATCATTATTGCAGAAAATGAAAAGACGAATAGAATTTAATGTGCAGTTGGAGGGTTAGGAAAATGTTGTTTATTGCAACCTCACAAGTTACCTTCCATGAAAGTAATATCCCAGCTCTACCACATGCCAGTGACGTGAAGTTCCATTCGCATTCATGATTTGCCACTCATCCCCACACTTATATTTTTTTCTCCAACCACAAATTATATTACTAACTTATTATACACTCCATCAATAATAATTTACAGAATATACACACACACAAACACACACATACAAACTTCACCTTATTCTATTATTTAGAACCATGAATGAGTAATTCTCTCGTGAATTAAAGATAAAATCGATTGAATTAAGATTAAATATAATTCTTAATCATATTTTTTAAAATTTATTAAAACAAGAAAATATTTCTTATACAAATCTTTCTACACCATAAAAAAAATAGAAAAGATAAGAAATCATCAATCAAACCTGGATTTAATCCTCGGGAATCTTCGTGATGTGTTGTGTTTTGTAAGTACTAATTGAGATAATAGATATGTGGTGATGTCAAGATTAAACTAATTTTTTCAATTAGGGATACAAAAAAGTTATACGATTAGTGTTAGATGTTAATTTATGAGTGTCCAAACATTATCATTCGGAAATTTATTAAAATACAATTTACTACATTTTCAATTTGGTTCTAGATTTGTTAAATTGGGTTTTATGTATAAATTTATATTCATATGTATTTTAACAGGATAAATGAAAAAAGTATAATTTTAGACACCTTTTTGATTTGAATAATTAAAGCAACTAAATGTAAAAATAATCAAACAATTATGAAGTACGGCTAATATAAATTGAATAATTAGAATTTATAGTTGCACTTAATTTCGTAGCGTGGAATTATTACTCATTATTCGATTCAATTATGATTATGTTATTAATTATCATCCATTCACGAAATTATTAAAGTTTTATTTATTTTTAAATGAAAACATAAAATTCCATTATTTTACATTATTAATCTCTTAAATTAGTATAATTAAAGTATTTGTTTTAAGTAAACATGACTCATACATTGTAAATTTTCTCTCAACACTTTAAAAGTGTTTTTATCCATAAGTTATCTACTTGTACAATATTTTTACACATGACACCAACTAAAATACGTGAATTCGATATCTCAAATAATGAGTCACTACGAAAAATAAACAATTAATGTCGAACAAAAAATGACACTAACAATAAGAAATGATTCCAAATTTACTATTAAAATTGGATTTGCATTACTCGTTTAAAATTTTCTTTTTATTTTCTTTAGTCAATGTAAGACTTTTGAATTTACATTTAAAATCTTCAAAAAAAAAAAACAAATATAACAATTACATATGAAAATAGGTATAGTTATTTATATATTGTGGGATAAAGAATCCTCAAAAGGAGAACTGTTTTCTTTCTGTCGCAAGGGTTTGTTTTCAAGTATTATGAAGTATGTAAAAAACTAGAGACAAAATTTATCTTTTATAGCCTGTATCTTTTCTATGGTGAGATTTTAATACACGTGGTTAATGTATTAAAATCAAAGGTTAATGTAATTTCAAGATATCAATTTTTGTGTTCTAGAAGGCAAAGCTAGAGATAAGACTTTTTTTTTAACATATTCTTAGTTTGATTTTTAAATATATGTACATAATTTTTTTATATTCATCTTATATTATTTTTTATATATTTTCTTTTCTTTTTAAAATAAAATAAAAATTTACTTTTTTTATGACCATTTTATGAAATAAATATAAATACATCATTCCTCTAATAATTCTAATACAAAAATAAAATAGCCATACAGTTAAAAATCATAATAAAAGCATATAATATCCACTCCGTTGAACAACCTCACTTATGTCAACACCAACCTTTTTTATCTTTCTTAACATACAATTGGATGTAATAATATATCATTTAAATAAAAAAGTAAATGAAACTTGTTTGCTTTTTGTTGGCCTTTTCATGAGAGCTACAATATTCTATATTTAAGGATAATGATACTTTGACAACATTTTTTTATAACATTTTAACATCATCTATATGTTATTCTGTGATGATTGATCCAGGTTGGTGTTTATAATTATTATTATTAATTGTAGATTAATTTTAGACCAATCACAGAATGATACGTAAATGATGTTAAAATGTTATAAAAAAAAAAGTTATCAAAGTATCATTATCCTTAATTTAACTCAACTTTTTTTCTTTTCAAGCAAATATTTGAGTAAGATATATAAATTAACTTAGAACAATGAAATATTCTCTGTAATTAATTCAATATATTGCACATTCAGACTTAAACTTTAGATTATCTTAAACGTGTTAACAATCTCTTGTTTTACCAAATGATAAAGAACTCAGTTTAAAAAGTTCATGGTGGTTATGCAGTCATAAATTCGACAGTGACGTACCTATATACACGAAGTGCAGAGAGCTATTCTGACAAGCGGTTCATCACTTGATTTGCATGAGATAGAGCAGAATACAGTGACCTCAATATTGTGTAACACTGTTGCGGTATATTGGAATTATTTTGTCGGTATGGTGCCACACTACCATCCAATGTTTCTCGGTGGTAGATGGTGATGGGGTAATGAACATGGACCATGTCGATGGCAACCTTAACTCCACTATTTTTCATAACTATCTCATTATGACCATCATTTACTACGAAACATTATTAATCACTTTTAATGTTGTCTGTTTTTCCAATAACAAAGGTTGTCTTAATTACTCTGGTATATTATATATTATATCTATAGATAGATATAGAAAGAGAGGAAGAAGCATATAAATGTAAACGGGACCAGTCTGCATTCTCTACAGTGTAACGTGTCTATCTGGTGGAGCAAACCTTC